GCGCGCGTCATTAACGGAAGTGAGGCCACAAAATGGCGGCGTCCCTCCCGACAGACCGAGAGAGACGACGAGGAGCCTCGCAAGGGGCTCTCGGGGCCACAGGACTGACGGCGAGCTGAGGTGTGAAAGGCGAAGAAGGAGGGCGCCTACACCCGCGCGCTATACCTATATCCTAGAGAGTGCGAGCGAGCCGCAGTGAGAGAGAGAGAGAGAGAGAGAGAGAGAGAGAGAAAGAGGAGATGAGTGAGCGAGAGAGCGAGTGCGGAGAGGCAGAAGGCAGTGGCGCAAAGAAAGAAGAGGAACGACGCGACGACGACTGGTGGCAGTGGCACGTTGCCTTCGCTGCCTCTTTCTCACTCGCTTACTCACTCTCTCTCTCTCTCTCTCTCTCTCTCTCTCTGTATGTGCGGACGCACGTGTGTGCGCGTGTGCTAGCGCCTCGTTGCTCCGTCTCCCTCGCTCGTTCCTGGAAGGGTAATCGGTCCGCGGGGCGCACGCGGCAGAGAGGGGATCCCACGACGACCGAACGCGCTCGGAAAAGGAGCGAGCCAGCGAACGGACAAGAGCGAAGGAGAGAGAGTGGGAAGGAGCGAGGGGGGGGGGGGCCGGCCGAGGCGCGCGGAGTGCCAGGCTGTGCCCAGGCAGCCAGGCAGGCGGCGGTGCGAGCGAGAGCGTGCGACCATTGTAGCCTATTGGCACGAGCGAGAGGGAGCGAGCGCCTCCGACTGCGAGTCTGGCGGCATCGTCGAGTCGAGCGAACGAGGCAGTCAGTCGACTGGTGTGCGTCTGGCGTCGTGCGAGCTGCCGAGGCCGAGCGCAAGCCTGTGGTGGGGGATGAGAAGAGTCGGTTACGGCATCCTCTAGCAGCGGTCCGCGCGCAACCCGTCCGAAACTGGTGCGCCCGCAAAGCGGCAGCATCGCCGTCGCCGCCCGAAGCGCGCAATGCAACACACCGGACCAGCTCGACTTCCCTCTGGTCTTAGCTGCAGCCGCCGCAGCCACCGCCGCCGCAGTAGCCACACGTCCCCGACCCCGTCCTCGCAACGTCGTCGGTAGTGCCTTGAATCCGCGAACAGTCAGCGCCCAAGCTCCGAGCGCGCGAGAAAGAGACAGAGGAAGATAGAGCCACGAGATAGAGGCGCCACTCCGACAGAGGCGCGCTAGTGTGCGAGTGTGCGTGCGCGTGTGGTTGGCTGCATGTGTATATAACGTCGCGCCGCCCGATATCGCCGGGCCGTGTGCGCGCATACAGCGCGGCATTGTGTAACCACTGCTCCCTTTGAGTGCGCGTCAGCCGCCGCCTCCGCCGCCACCGCCGCCGCCGCCTCCGCCGCCACCGACGCCGCCACCGCCACCGCCACCGCCACCGCCACCGCCACCGCCACCGCCACCGCCACCCCCACCGTCACTACCGTCACCACCGTCACCACCGTCTACACCACCAGCTTCGACGGCCCGTACCTTCGCTACTATCCCTCCCATCCCACTTCCATCGCTCACCCCGAGGACCCCCTCCCCGTAGCCGCCCTCGCCACAGCTAACATTACGTCCACTTTCCCTCTTACGGACCCATTGTGGTACACGCGTGCATCTGGACAAGAGGCAGAGCACAGTAGAGGAGCACCGTTATCGTCGTTATGGCCCGTGGTGTGAACGAAGTCCTCGGCGAGGGTAGCCCCGTCGTCAAGATCCTCGCCAACAAACACCATCAACCGCAGCAACAGCAACAGCAGCATCACCATCAGCAGCAACAGCATCACCATCATCATCATCAGCATCAACAGCAGCAGCATCAATCTCAATCCCAATCGCAATCCCAGCAGCCGAACCTACGTAAAAGCGTGGGCGTGATGGGCAGTAGACGGATATTCGCACCCGCGTTCAAGCTCAAAGTCCTTGACTCCTATAGGAATGACATCGATTGCCGAGGCAATCAGCGCGCGACTGCCCGTAAATACGGCATACATCGGCGCCAGATACAAAAGTGGCTCCAGTGCGAGGATAATCTTCGGAGCTGCTGCGCGGAAGGTCCACCGACGAGCGTCGCCACTCCCGCAGCCTCGCCGCAAAAGGACCTCCACGACACGAAGCCTCAGCCTCAGCCTCAGCCACAGCCTCAGCCTCAGCCGCAGCCTCAGCCGCAGCAGCAGCAACAGCTCCGAGCCACTAGCGCCACTCCATCAACGCCGGCCTTGAACCTTAGTCTCGCCAGACTGCACGGCGACGAGCTGGCCGTTCGGCAGCAACAGCAGCAGCAACAGCAGCAGCATCAGCAACAGCAGCAGCCACCGCCACCGCCACCGCCACCGCCACCGCCACCGCCGCCACCCCCTCTACCGCCGTCACAGAGCTCAGTAGCGGCGCAGGCGCTCGCACCCCAGCAGCCAGTGAATTACCGATTTCATGGCGCTGCCGTGGTCGCTGTAGCCGCAGCCGCCGCCGCCGCCGCCGCTACCACCGCCACCGCCGGATATCCGGACTTAAAAGACAAAGTGCCTACGCAACATCAGCAGCAGCAGCACCAGCAACAACAACAGCAACAACAGCATCTCCAACGCTATGCCGCTGCTCCGGCCGATTACTCAGTAATCGATCAGCTTTATCAGCCGCTGACCTATCACCACGCGCAACAGCACAACCAACAACAACAACAACAACAACAACAACAACATCATCATCATCATCATAATCATCATAATCATCAGCATCATAATCACCATCAGCAGCAGCAGCAGCAACAGCAGCGGTACGAGGCTGCCGTCACAGCGGCTTCCGCAATCGCTAATGACACCTCCACCACTGGCAGCACCATTAGCAACTCCTCCGCGACCCCGACCAACGTCAAAGCCAACGAGCTCCAGCAATATCGACAGCTGAGCTACGAGATCAAGATTGAATCGCCAAACTCGAGCTTCCGAGCCGAGGAGACGGCCGTCGTCTGTGACATAAAAAAGGAGCGCGCAAGCCCCGACTCGGGCTGCCTCGGACACCCTCGCGAGCACTCCGAGGTTCTCGAGTCCCTGCCCCCAAGTCCGCGCGACTCCGCGTCCTCGTTCTCATCATCGGCCTCGGCTTCCTCGTCCGACAGCGAGATGGACTACACACTGCCGGGCCGCCACCACCAGTCGGATCTCGCGCGGCGCCGCTCCTTCTCCCTGCGCTTCAAGCTCGACGTCCTTGACGCCTTTCATCGTGACGCCGGAGTCGCGGGTAACCAGCGCGCGACCGCCCGCAAGTTCGGCATTAACAGGCGCCAGGTGCAAAAGTGGCTCGGCCAGGAGAGCGAACTCCGTGGCGTTATCGAGCTCTGCGCCGCCGGGGGCAGCGAACGTCAGCGACTGGGCCCCCTCCACGAGGAGACACCCGTCGACCTGCGGACGAGCTGCCCCTTGCTCCTTACGACGTCGGAGCTCGGTCAGGTCTCACCCCGCTCTGCCGGCAGCCACTACAGCTGCTGCGACTACGGGGACTCGCCATCGCTCACGCCCCCCTACAGCACCCCGGGCTGCTCTCTCTCCTGCTGCCAGGAACCGAGGCCGAGCAGTCGACTTCGCTATTGCACCTCTCCGACGCTCGCGGCTGCCGACTCGGAGGGCGGCAAGCGAACCGCTTGCTCGCAGTCCTGTTGCGCGCCCGCGTCTAAGAGGCTCTGCCTGGACGAAGAATTGCATCAGCAGCCCCAGCCAATGCAGGAGACGCCACTCTGTCTGGTAAAGCCGCGCTGCGACTCCTCGTCTCAGCAACTCGAGTCCGTCTCGAGCACCATTACAACGCCCCTCGCACCCACGACCGCCAAAAAGGACGCCATCCTCTTCAAGCCCTACCTCGACAACCCGGTGAGCAAACCCACCCCCGAGGAGTCGGCCACCTGCAACAACAACAACAACAACAACAATTGCCAGGATGCGTGCAATCTGAACGAGAGACAGGCTCAGGACTTGGCGCTCGAGCTGAGCTTCAGGCTGCCCAGCGGATGGCGAGCCCAGCAACAACACCAGCAATATCACCTACAGCAGCAGCACCACCAACAGCAGCAACAGCAACATCAACATCAGCATCAGCAACAGCAGCAGCAACAGCAGCATCAATACATGGACTTGCCACAAGTGCGGAGTGCCTTCGTCAGGTATCCGACTACCGTCCGGTACTCGTAGGGGGGAGGCGTCGCCGGATTACGACGCACTGCTTGCTTACCTTAAACAAAACGCGCCCGATAATCTTCGATTAAGGGCGCAACCTTGTCCAGGGAAACGAGAGAGGCTGACAAATGAGATCTAGTCGCTAATTGATCTAGGCCTTATATTCTCCTCGAAAATGCTTCGCGATAGCCTGCGATTTTCCCCTCGCTCGACGTGCGTGCACGAGGAGATCTCCGATCCGGGAAGAGTCGAGCCGTCTAGAGATTAATTAAAGTAATGAAATTAATTATTATTTAAACAATTATAATGGCGGGACAGTGGAAGAGCAGTCGACTAGTCGTAAAACGGTATGCTGACTAAGGAGATCCTATTTATTATCCTCTGCTTTTCTCGAGGCGCTTCTAGAGACGAAAAGCGAAATTCCCTTTCCCCGATTCGCCGTTACGTGGTGGAGGCCCGACAGGAAGGAGACGACTCGATGGAAATTCGTGCGCTCGCCGAGGTCGCGCGAAGGTCGCCTCGTCCTGCACGTCGCCGATTAATCGTGCCTTCCTTCGATACGTGAGATCCGTTGGTATTTTGAACGTAATGGAAGGGAGAGGCAAGGGGATGGCTTCGTTGACTATGCGGCATGTGGCCTGGTAATGAGGGGCAGGGGGGGGGGACGAGATCTCGAGTCTCTTTAATTAGCATCAATCGGCGCCATCTCTCTCCTCCGTGTTTTTCTCTCATTTTGCGATAAGACAAAAACTATTTGAGAAAGGAAAGGGAAATTCGTTGAAAATGACGTTTGGGAGTTTTAGCTTCCTTCCTTAACGTTTACGTCCAAACAACAACTATCTCTCTTGTCGTTCTCTTTTCCTCTCACACGCGCACCCAAACATACTTATGCACATACGTGTGTATATATATATATATATATATATATATATATATATATAAACACACACGCACACACACACACATACACACACATTTTTATGCGCATACATACTTACAGACACACGTCATCATCTGTTTTGCATAATTCGTTTGTAATTTGTAAATATGTAAATACAATATCCGAGTGCTTAGAAGCAAAGATATTTTTGTACCTCATTAATCGGTTAAAGAATCCGGACTAACGTATTCATTCGTACGTCGTATGTTTGATAACTTTTTTTTTCTTTCGTTTTCATCTACTACCATTACTACTAATATGACTATCACCTACTACTACTACTACAACAACTAATACTAGTACGCATAGAACTACTATTAGTATTTCTACTAGTATTGCAACTATGACATACCTATTGCTACTAGTGCCACTATCTTTTCACCACATTCATCTTCTTTTTCTTATTCAACTTCGTCTTTTTCGTCGTCTTCTTCATTTCCTTTCTTCTTCTTCTTCTTCTTCTTCTTCTTCTTCTTCCATTTCTTTTTCATCGTCATCGTCATCGTCATCTTAAAAACGATTGCGCAAACGTTAATTGAGGAATCGATCGAAACGGGTCCTCGTGTGCCTTTTCTCGGTGGCTTTGCGCGATGCGATAACGAGGACGTTCCGCTCGCCCAGTCGACCGTCGCAGATTAAATATTCCGCCGAACGCGGATGAAAGTGCGTAAACGATCGCATCGGTGCTTTATAAATACGCGATTAAACGAGCCACCGCCGTTTTCCGAGCGGATGGATTTTCAAGCGATAGCGAGAGGACGTGATGTGGACAGCGATGTAAGGTTAATGTAACTCATGTGCCTTAAACACGCCCCTCCTGCGTGCGATAAGTGGAAAATCTTACGTTGTTGTCAAAGAGAAGCGATTTTTCTCGTTCTGAACAGTATTTTTTCATTTTTTTTCTTTTCGGATGAAAATCGAAACCAAGTCAAGAGAGTCGAGCGACGCCCGACCCTTGGGTCACGCTGCCCCTTCAAGTCGTTTCGCTGTCGCTTCGCTCCAAGCATAATGTCGATAATAGAGAAGAACGAGCGTTCGAAATACGGATATGTTCATTGGCCGATGAACACCCAACGAGTCCGAATGAATACTCATTGAATCCGAAACGACGGAGTCTCGTTGGAGAATCGAGGGGGCGACGGTGACCTGAGAATAATACATGGGTGGCTTAAGCGACTGCCTTCGATTCCCAGCCCCCCACCCCCGGTGTATGTCATCGTAGATAAAGAGGCATTTCAGAGAAGAGGGATAGGACGGGAAAATTATAGAGAGAAAGAGAGAGAGAGAGAGAGAGAGAGAGAGAGAGAGAATCGTCAAGGGGTTAAGAGTTAAGCGTATAATTCGAAAATTTTCGTGTAGGTTATGTTGGACCGTGTGCCTTAGCTTTCGTGCAGCCTTGGTGAGTTACAGTGGCGGCGCGTACGCAATGAAAAATTAGAAAGATAAAAAAAGGCGACGCTGTATGAAGTAAGGTAGCCGTAAGCCATAATGAAATGACATAATGCCATAACATTTTACACTAATTAAAGTTATATAGTTTAAACGAAGAATAAAATCACGAACATATCGGTGAGTGACTGAAGAATTGAGCGAGTCTAAGCGCGCGGTTGCAGGCTTCAACTCTGAATATACAGGCGATCCGATTACAGCATTGCCTACAAGAGTCTATAACTATCGTATTAATGAGCGAATTAATTAATAAATCGTACGAGGAATGGAAAGTAAGTGGAAGCCACATAGGCGTACGGGGGAGGGCGAGGGAGAATGACCAGGAGAGCCCGTGAATGCGTAATGATGATGAGTCCGTAGGCGCATCGATTGACTTGGGGCGACGTGGCCTGAACTACCGGAGTCCTCAATGTTCACCGGCAAAATCTCTTTTCCGTGCAATCATCCATATATAGTTTATATAGACTTTACAAATTTTACAATGGACGAATGGAAGAAAGGCGTCCTACAGAGCAAGCAAAGAAATTTAAATGGAAAGAGTACAGCTTCTTGCGATTTCGAGTATACGAATTAAACTTGTTATTATATTTATAAGTAACGTCGAGCGCATAGAAAAAAGCGAGATGATATGTTTATTGCGACTATTTGTATTTGTGAGAGATGATATTTTTACTACACCGGGCTTTTGCTTAGGTACGAGACATTTATGTAATATCGAGAAAATCGCCGTCGTGCCTTATACAATATCTTATGTGGGAATCCTCTGATTAACTGAAAATGTGATAAAATGAGAGAAATTTATTTTTTTCTATTACTATTATTTTATTTTTATTTTATTTTTTTTTTACTTTTTTTTCTCTTTTTTTCCCTATTTTCATTTTTTTTTTTTTTTTTTTTTTTTTTTTTTTTTTTTTTTTTTTTTTTTTTTTCTTTTTTTTCCCTTTTTTTTTTTTTTTTTTTTTTTTTTTTTTTTTTTTTTTTTTTGAAATAACAAATCCTAATCACTTGAACGAGTTTTGTCGTGCCTGAAATTTCAGAATACATGTATAAATACACACTTGCACCAATTGTTTTATATGGATACATACGCATATGTTGGATAAGTAATACACAGAGTATATGTGTGTATACAAAATTCCGTGACAAAATTGTTTTGTTATATGCGCGCGAATCAACCATATCTGACATTGTGCCTTATCGCCTATGTCAACGATGAATGACATTACAAAGAAACAAATGGCAAAGACATGTAAACGTATAGAATGCATCTGTGTGCGAATGAAGAAATGTTTAAAAGTGCAAAAATTTTAGATAAAATAGATATTTTATCAAATGTAAAGAAGATCTTTTAATAGTCGTCCTTTTTTCTACGCTCAGAAATACGAAAATATACTGTATTGATAATTATTGTATTTGTATATGTATATACATTCAACTAGCACGTATATACGAATGCGAAAAAATAGAAACTTATGGAATTTGAGAGAAATATAAGAGATTATTTTAAAACAATAACTTCGGTTTTTATTTATCACTCTACCTTAACCTCTGGCTTATCCCATACCTCTACTTTCAATAAAAATGCGCCAAGAAATTACAACCATAGTAGCGATAACAGCTACCATTTAACATCTTTACAGCTATTATTGAACGTATATTGAAATTATCGATATATAAAATTATTTTCCAAAATAAATAATAATAAATAATATTACCACGCAATGTCCATAATACCTTTGAATTCAATATTTTCATTTGGTGCTTTTAATTCAACTTTTTAAAAAATCGTATCGACCATTTAAAAGAAGAGTATATAAATTTTAATATATTTACTCTAATATAAAAATAAAATCTTAAAGTTAATAATAAGACATTGGAGTATGATTGGAACGATATAACGAAGCACACATTAACAGGTTCTTGTCAATATAAGAAATATCATACCAAGTATCGACAATGATTCAACTATGGTTTATTGTGATAAAAAAATACACAAAAGTATCTACATTTTCAATATACGATAAATGTATATTGATTTTTCTTAACATTATTTCACGATTGAATAAAAAGTAAAAAGTGAAAGAAGCCGTATTTAATAAATAAAATTTGCCTTAGTTATTGATTTCCCCCTTAATACCGAGTCTTTGTATTTCAAATTTGTTTTCACAAATTATTCCTATCTATAAGATTCTTATGTATGACATAATTATCCGTTCTATACATTTTTTTTTTTGGAATCATAATCAACCGCAAATAGTTTCTCGACAGTAAAAATCGTGGCGCTTTAGATTAATGAAAATAATTGTGTTTGCACAATTTGTGTTTATCTCGTTGACACGTTTCTGTATACCTATCCGTACGAATAACTAAAAAGAAAAAGAAAAGAAGAATTTGTGCATTGATAAAAGGAAGCATAAATATAGTTAATCATAAGAGAATAGTAAAATCATTGTTTAAAAAGCTTTTACTTCATAGTTAATATCAGTTATAATAAAAACTTGTGATTTGCGCAAAAAAAAAAAACTTAAAGAAACAAATAAAGGTCATTGAAAATAGGAAAAAATAGTGGGTGACGTATTAATTAGTAACTTATTTTAATATATAAATTATATAAATGTATATTTCAAATTAAAAGATTTTTCATTTAGAAATACAATAAAAGAAATGGTTTCATTTCAGAAAAGTGACGTCCAATCTGTACATTAGTAAAAAATATAATTATTATTTTTGAAAATTTTTTTGCTCATTGTTTTTTTTTTTTTTGTCGAAATGAGGCTAACAACATTTACTTTGTAAAGTAATGCTCAGTTGATGTAAGTGTCATTATTGCATTACTGATACTTGTTTAAAATATATTGAAATTGCACATCGACGAAATTGCACACCAGCACAGTACATACAAAAGTATTTTTATAATAAGTAAATTTTAAAAATAACATTGAATAATTCTTCACTACTATCTTCTCTATATAATGTACTGACACAGAAAATTTATTATTTTTTATTGATGAAATGCATATTATGCGTTGTTAACATTATAAACTTTAACCAATATGTATTAAATTTTATAGTCAATATAGATTTTTTGAGACTCAATTGTAAAGATTACAAATTTAAATGTATTTATAATTAAAGCATATGCATTAAAAATTTATTTGGGTAATTAATTAAATTGAGGTATACAAAAGTTCGTTTTATAGAAACGTAAAGAGGTAAGTGCATTCCAAGTAAGCTAAAGATAATTTGAATTTATAAAAACAATCCCCAATTAAATAAAATATATAATAAAAAAAATTCTGAGCCTACGTTATTGTACCTTATATTTAGCCATTATTATCTCGTTTTTATAACTTTATTTTATTTCTTTTTATATTTTTATTAGAAAATAAACTGCAAATTCTTAACTGATTAAATATATGATACGTAACACTATACAAATAGGTAGTAAGATTGTTAAATTTTGTATAGAATTTCTGTTGGTAGAATTTCATCTCGACAATTGGAAAAAATATTTGAGAATCGTTCCATTATTGATAGATGAATAATTATTGATTATTAATTATGGCTGTTTTTAGCGTTAATCGAAGGATTATTCTTGTCTCATTAACACGGAAACGTGACTTTTCTTCTTCTTTCTTTGTTGTTCTTGTTTTTCTTTTTTCAAATTAAATGTATGGATCTTCTTTATTCACAACTTAATATCATTTGTAGTCAATTTGATATGACGATTAAATTTTTATACCAATATATCGAAAATATTTTGGCGTTAAATGTGCTTTATTCACACATTGGCATTTACCATTATTTTAAGCTTGCAGTATCCAATGATAATTAAACTTTCTTTTATATACAATCTATTGATTATATAAATCTTTGAACGTTAACATTCGTTATTAATATAATCATGAATCTTCGTGTGGCAATAAGATATAAAAGAATGAAATGCAGAATAACGATCGACAATACTTACGTTTACAATCGCACGAATTGATTTATAAAAAGAACGAAACAAATAAAAGTCAGCTTTGAAATCTGTAAATCTTGTCGACAGCAGCGGTTGAAAAGTGTGATCGAAAGAGCGCGAGGGCGGCGGGGAAGCTGGGGGAGGTGGGACGGTCAGGGGAGAACGAGAGGAGTTGGGGGAGAGAGAGAGAGAGAGAGTGAGAGAGAGAGGGAAGGGTCGCCATAATCAAATTGATTACGGTAGGCTTTGTTACATGTTGTGACGGGTGCGGATAGCGAGGAGACTCCTCGTTGCAATTCATCGCGCATACCTCATCATAAAAAAATATCTTTTGGCAAGTGGAAGCGCAGGTATTGCCGAAACATATCATCCAATGACAGGCCCATGCTAAATGCCACGATTGCGCGCGCATCACCGGTCAGCGAATTACACTCGCCGTCCTTCCCGCACCGCGGTTGCGTCCCTCGTCCCCTTTGCCTTGCCACAGCCCCGGCCCCGGCCCCGGCCCCGGCCCCGCGATCGACCCATTGTCCCCGTTATCAGGGACGTTGCTCATCTACCGCTCGGGCTTCCGGAGCCATCCCCGGCTTAACGCTATCTGCCGAACGCCGAGACTTCTCCCAGCCACTCGGCTTATCTCGATCAGCGCGGCTTATCGGCTCTCCCGAAAAATCCTTGCTCCCCTCCTATCACGCGTATCTTTATTCGCCAAGTCGACTGCTGGAACGTGCGATGCGCCCGCTCGGTAAATCATCCGTTTCTCTGCGAAATAGTCGTGTCTTGTGGCGCTTTAGCTACGAGCGGCTAAACAAGCGCGAGCGGAAAAGAGAGGGAGAGAATGGGAGACAGACAGACAGACAGACAGACAGATAGACAGAGAAATTGAAAAAATTCGGCCAATAGGGGACTGCAGCCGTATCGTAATGGAGAAACGCGTGCCGATCTCCTGCTCATTTTGGACTGTATTGAAATTACGTCTCGTTCGATAATATCTTTGGTGCTTGTCTATCGTATGGGCGAAGCTTACGCAGATGATTAAGTAAAATGCCGCTCGATTTAATAAGCGATGATTAAATCGAGAATTGGGCGGGCCCAGGGGAACCGAGTGTCTCTCGACAAAAAAAAAAAAAATATCAAGAGGGGCCGAATTAGCAAGTGCGCCCCTGGACGATCGAACCATTCAATTTCTTAGCCGAAGCGCCTCTTTCGAAATTATCGAACGCTATGCCTCGTTAGTCTCTATCGCCAAGGAATTCCTCCCGCCTCCCTCTCTCTTCGTGGGCTCGCCGATCGAAAGCGACTCGCTGTTTTTCTTTCTCGCTCTGTCGTCGGCCCCTTGAAAAAAATGCGCTCGCTCGCGAAACGAGGCCGCGCGGCCAATTTCTATCTAAGTCCGTGTAATTACTCTCTCTCTCTCTCTCTCTCTCTCTCTCTCTCTCTTTCACTGTGTGTGCGCGTGCGTGTTTGCCGGTGCGCTTGCGGATTAACATATTAATCGTTTGAAAAGAAGGGGACAAGAGTAACGGGGTGAGGTTGAGGTGAGGGACGGGTGTGGGGTGGTTTCGGGGGAGGTAAGGAGCACCATTTGCTCTAGAGAAGGAAAAAAATTATCGTTACGCGCGAATTTCGTGGCCGATTGCCGCCGTCTCTTATACCTCGCGGCGCCGCGTCCCGGCCCGACCCGACGACGGCTCTGCTCTATTTCATTCGACTGGCGCATTTACGACCGCATCAAAAAGTTTCTCACGGCGAGGTGGCAAGATTATGGGGCGAGGAGGTGACGGGGGAGGGATTGACGAGACACGGGGGCAGGGAGCCACTCACGAGGCGCACTTTCCATTTTAAATCCTCCAAATTGATCGCTTCCTTATATCAGCATTCTTTAAATTCGCTCGGCGATAAATATACGGCCTACTTGAAGAAAACAACCGATGATTAAATTTGCGTGTGTGCGGAGTGCGTTCTCGTGTTGTATCGAGCGCTGCTGCACGGCGATTCGGGATATTTACAAATAAAATAAATAAATGGAACTCGCTACGATTGGACTCGCAGTTACGAAGACGTAATCTGCGCGCTTAAGTCTTACTGCGTTTCATTCAATGCGCCGCAACTTGCAGAACAATAAATGTTTCAATCCATACCTGTGCTTTATTGGTTATCTTAACTCGAGCAATAAATGCCAGAGCATTGATAAAAATAAACCTTTACCGTAGTGAACGATAAAGGGTCCTGGCGACGGGAAGGGAATTAAGAGCTTACGAGCGCAGCGCTGAATGTCTCAATCCAGCTTTATCTTGCACAACCTATGCTTAGAAGTATGCGCTTTAATTTCAATTTTATTATTAGCCTTGATGATCAATGAAAGAAAAGCATGGAAATTACGAATAGCCAGCTTATTTAATAACAAACATATTTAATTATGTCAGTCCTTGGTCAAGTACAAGTAAAATGTGATAACAATATCGAGTGACACACAGTTGAATGTGTTTAATTAAAAATGTTATAAGCTTTCTTTAACGTATTTTTCTATTTATTGCACATTTGTCTAAAACAATGCTTCGTTGTCGATAAGTTGCGCGCAATATTTCAACCAAATTACGTACATAAATTTTTATTTAAAGAAAAGTAAAGGAAAAGAAAAGAAAAGTAACAAGAAAAAAAGAAAAACAATAGTAGCGTTAAGTATTGAAATGTTGTTTGAATCATTTAGTTGCTTATGATGAAAATATTACTTACCTCATGAGCGACGACCTATATGTAATAGATGCTATACATGCGTATTAGTATGTGCACGACACACATTTGAATTATCACAATATAACTGTATGTTCATATTAAGATTTTAGTTAAAATGAATTAAAATAAATTAATTATACTCGAATACATGATTTCTATATTTCTCTTTATTTTTGCAATTTGATATAGGACTTTTTTGTTCGATCCTTGTTTGTATTATTTACAATTTACAAATATAATTAATTTTACAGCAATGCTGTGCACAATGAGATACATCACAATTCAAAAGCTATTTGTATTATGAACATCTTTATATAAATAATTGAAAATAAATGTTTAATCTCATATGTATATAATTAATATATCACTTATGTTTATGTTACTTTTATCGAATGAACTAATCATTTTGATCATTAATACATACAGTATTGGAACAAATATTTTACAATTATTATTTTATTAATACGTAATAACGCATACAATATTGACGAAATGTACAAACGAATGAACGATTAAAACAAACATAGAGTATATTGAAAAAAATAGCTAAAAAAAAAAGACCAATGAAAATTTTTAAGTTTAACAAATTGAAGATGTTAATAATTGTCCATCCTACTTAATTAATTATGTAAATCATTTATTGAATGGCTGAGCTCCTTGTTAAACGAATAATATATCCTAATTACGACAGATTTTATTGTTGCATCATCTTTGTAGCATTCGTGACGTCATAAACGAAGGAATTAACATATCCGAAGCCGTTTCAACTTTTTCATTTCTAGAGGTTGGTATTCAGTGTTTTGTACAAGTGTCGTACGAAAATGAATTATTTTTAATAACTCAATGATCTATAAATAGAGCGAAAAATACTAATTTTTTTTCGAGTAGGAGTTTGATAGAAAAGAGTCTTCTGAGTATGGCTACGCGAGAAAAACAAATAAACAAAAAACAAAAAAAAAAGTTAGGAAAAGAAAAAGGAAAAAAGAAAAGAGAAAGAAAAAAAAATATGAGAAAAATATTAGGTCGTAGGATCCAATATTATAAAAAAAGAGAGAACGAAAGAAATGAAAAGCAATAACGAAAAACAAAAATATAAACAATAGTGCGGTTATTGTGTTGGAAACAGCTCGTAAATATTTACGACGAAATTTAAAAATAAATTTATCATACTTGTATTCATCAAAGGTTTACTCGAATCTCTCTCGCTCTCTCGCTCGCTCACTCCCTCTCTCTATGTCTCTCTCTCTCTCTCTCTCTCTCTCTCTCCCTCTCCCTCTCCCTCTCCCTCTCTCGCTCGCTCTTCCTACAAAATTTTCTCACTCCGTGTTAGCTATATAGTGTGCATCGTATTTCTCATTGTAATGTGTAATATGTTAATATAGTCACAAAATAAACGTGTTACTTGGTCAGGTATTAAAAAATTCACTATCTTTATATTTATCGTTTAAAGTCAATTCTTAAACGGCTTTTATAAACTAATTTATATTATCTATTCGTCTGCTCTTCGATAATCATCAGTGCGTTGGTGAGCGAACTTTTGTAATTTTCTTCTTCTTCATCTTCATCTTCATCTTCATCTTCATCTTCATCTTCATCTTCATCTTCATCTTCATCTTCATCTTCATCTTCATCTTCATCTTCATCTTCATCTTCATCTTCATCTTCATCTTCATCTTCATCTTCATCTTCATCTTCATCTTCATCTTCTACTTCTTCTTCTTCTTCTTCTTCTTCTTCTTCTTCTTCTTCTTCTTCTTTTGAATAACCTGTTAACACTTTCCACTCACAAATTACACCTATTAAATGTGCGGATAAGAATTAATTTAACTCAATTTGAATATTAGCAGTGAGGCAGTGAGGCAGTCAGGCGGATGAAAGAGCGCAGCTGCCAACCAATTATTATTCGCATCGCGCATGCAAAGATATTTCCTTCGCTCGTAAATTATCTTTCCTTTCGGTGCGTAATAAGCATCTCTCCTTCACTGTCGAAAACGCCGCTCCGGCGAGCGCGCGACCTCGACGTCCGTTAAACCGGCCCATATTACTTACTTCCCGGCGAGCGCCCGGGCCGATGCTAAATATCGAACTCGCTCTTATCGCGTACTTGGGAAGCGGTTCCGAGCCCCCGTCCCAAACAACAAAGCCTCATTAACGGCCGCATTAAAGTAAAAGTCGGCCTATAAATAAGCACTTGCAAGGCAGCAAAGAGCAGGGAGGGAAGGAGGGGCGCGCGGGCGCCGGCCTCGAGGAATTTCAAATTAATCGAAAACCTCCGCGCGGAGTTTCTCCCATTAATCAGTCGGCGGGGCCGTAAATCGCCCTTCGCCTCCCAAGGCCCCCTCGCGAAATCCGTATCCTAATAGCGAGTGGCGCTCGTCCGGTGGCGGCCGGATAAGACGCGAGTGGCCGCGCTCGCTCGGGACAATTGCGCGCGCCTCCGGCTATAATAGCGCGCGCACGCGCCCCACTCCCTGCGTATTTTTATCCGCTTGGTATCGGCGTGTTCATGTTGTCGCCGCCTGCCTCTCCTTGTTCTCCCTCGTCCCCTACCAGAAAGCCCCACCCTCTTAGCCCATGATAATCCAGTGGGACGAGAAGCAGCGGAAGAGTAGCCGCGGATGAGCGGGAGTTACGAGCCACCCGATGATATTGTCGCGCTCGACCGGGGGGAGATTCGTCGGAGGTATCGAGATACGGCGCTCGTCATCTTTAAGGTAAGCCTGCCCAGGTATGTTCGAGGGCGCGCGCTCGGAAGGCCGAGGTTGCCAGTCAGCGCGTAATCGCGCACTTTAAAACCTCGTCGTGGTCGTGATTGTAGTCGTCGTCGTCGTCGTGGACGTCGTGGTCATCGTCGTCATCGTCGTCGTCGTCATCGTCGTCATCGTCGTCGTCGTCGTCGTCGTCGTCGTCGTCGTCGTCGTCGTCGTCGTCGTCGTCGTCGTCGTCGTCGTCGTCGTCGTCGTCGTCGTCGTCGTCGTCGTCGTCGTCGTCGTCGTCGTCGTCGTCGTCGTCGTCGTCGTCGTCGTGGTCGCGGTCGTAGTCGTCGTCGTCGTCGTCGTAGTGATTGTCCTCGTACTCCTCGCCCTCGTCGATCAATGACCTTTGGAGGGCCTAAAGTCATTACGTAAGTAAGCGCGCTTTCGCACGGCCACTGATCGATCGACGATGTCCGTTGACGATCGCCACGACAAATTCTGTACGTTATTATTACGGTGATAATTTTCAAGCCCGACTTATAATTACATCAATGTCATAATTAATGTGCGTTGGCGGCTCGTACGAATGTCTTGGGCGACGGTAGCTCGGTAACGTCTCGGATAGCGTCCTCGGCCACGGACGTGCATTTTTCACAATCTTCGACTTTATTAAATACGCTCGCGCTATCGCAAATGCATTTTTCTTTTCCCCTATTCGCCCCTTTGGCTCGAAAATGACAATAAGCTGCGTTGGCCGCTCGATTATGCAAGACACGTCGAGCGATTTCAGAAACGAAACTCAACCCGCAAGCCAATAGTCGGATGTCGTCGTTAAAGCCTCGCGCTTGAGCTTAACGTTAATCTCATCTTAAATAATCTTTAACGTACCACAAGATCCTTTGTCCTTTTGATTTTTTTTTTTTCTTTTTCTATCGTTTCTTTGAACAGCCAGCTCCTTCTTCGTTCCCAACATTCCCAACTGCAAAATGCAAACACCATCTCCCTGGGATTCACAAACAGTCTCGATTATTAGTTACGGAGAATTTTCCCTTTATATACAAATTGTTTTACTCGTACAGGAGCAGCAATTACATCAATCACGGAGAAACGAGACGAGCGAGGGCAAAAGCAGGTCTTATTTGAGTTTCGGTGTTAATCGAAGAACAGTGACGTACACTAATAATGGTAACGAAGCTGTTGTAGTGCATAGGACAACCTTGAAAGCCGCAATTGAGGCGCAAGAGAATTTACGATTGTCTTCTCGCCTGTTGAGAATGTACCGAAAGCCGCGCGAAAGCTGTACAATAAGTTAACTCCAAACAAACATTGTATTATCGTATATTTTTCACTACAAATAGAAATTGTAAATTTTTTTTTCCTTTCCTTTTGTATTGTTTTCGTCTTTGTTTTTGTTTTTGTTTTTGTTTTAAATAATCTCCTTTATTGGCATAAAGTAAATTGTTATTATAAATAAAATTTGTAATAAAAATGTAATAAAAAGTGAACGACAGTAGCGTTCTTTTCCGAACGACTAAAATAAATGAATATTTATAAATATTTGACGTATTAATTTTTATATAATTTTAAGCTTATATATATATATATATATATATATATATATATATATATATATACAACATACAGTTGCGCATTTGATTACTACACATTTTGTACAGTATATTTCTATGATTTTTGTCAGATTCTTTACTCGATATAAATGTAGTTCGACTGATCTGCATTGCTGTTCACCACTTACGCAAACACTGATAAAGTTCTTACAATTTAGCATAATACGATCAATTGCTTATTCATAGAAACAAAATATTGATTCATAAAAAAATAAAATAATATTTTCCTTCGCTGGGATTATCTTCTAATCTACAGTAGGCAGCTACAAAATGTAGCGGGTTCGTTCACGTGTGTTACGACGATACTAAGACTAAATGAAGGAAATTATCTGGAAAGCTGAGATGCTCCGAGAGCCACTGAAGTGGTGTATCCAGTGGAAGGACGATGCCATGGGTACGTACTACAACTGTAGAATTCAGAGTTTTTGGGTTAATTAATTATCAGTCAGATGACTAGTGCTAAGTATAACATTTTGACGATATCAATATATTACTCGAATATGTTCACTCGATATACAAGGTTTGCCCATAAATTATTGAAATGTGATACGACTTTGATTTTATTAATTACATTCCAAGGCTTGTAAGAGAAAGTTAAGTTCAAAGAATTTATGAGAAATATGTACCTTGGGATTAAAGAAATATTTGCTACGATAACTTTTCACGTCACTGAGGATTAATTAACCTCATGCTATTAAAGTAAATTGATGAAACGTTAATGATAATTAAATACGACAATATTAAATATCTCTTAATTGAGTAAATCTTTCGAACCTTGGTCCATGTCTGGAAAAACCTCGTTCAATAAATGTCTCAAGACTTTCCTTTGACCCTCTTCGTTAACGGGCTTTATCAATCTTTGTATATATTTATCTTCATTGGTGTAACATCTGAACGGTATGTATTTAAAAGCTTCGTCGCAAGTCCCTTCCATTAGCTTTCGATTCACAGCCCAAAACTGGTCAAACTTATCATTTAAGAGTCCAAGCCAAAGCTGATTGTGATCCTTCTTTTGCATACTCGAGACCACTTGGCCACGATGCTTAAGTACATCCGCTTCTTTGATACAAGAAAGAAAATGCGCCTCCACGACTTCTCTAAAATCAACCCGTTAATTTATCAATTAATACCATTTATTAGGATTTCAATACAACGTACTTATTATGACAACGAATGAGGACATCTTCGGGAAACTTGTTAAAGTGTACAACGATATTCCATGGCAATTGTATGTCGTTGTGATAAAGATCCATTAGTACCCCAATTGGAAGATGCCACTTGAGCGGCGTACCATTAAATTCCAGCCACATTTCAATTTCATGTTTATCCTGTATATCCTGCTGCACGTGGCGTAGAAAATGTTTTCTAACCTGCGACATGAAACAGTGCCAATCACCGTTCATCTAAATTAATATAAGACACAAAAGTTCAAACTCACCTTGTCAGTACAAAGTGGAAAGTAACTTAATCTTGGGACCATCAAATAAAAGGGATCCGGAGCTTGTAGCTCATAAACTTCCTCGGAGTCTAATTGAAAACAAACAGGAATCTTGCCTTCCCATATTTCTCGAAGGACTTCTCTGTCGTTTGCCATTTTACTTACTAATTAAAAATCAACCAGTACGTATCTAAATAATGCAAAGCGAAAAATTGATTGCTATCAGCATGTCTATGTATACATTAATTGGCTAACAAAGTTCAGCGATATTAAGTAGGTTATGTTTTGCTTCAACTTACGTCAAAGTTGCACCTCTCAAAACTTCAATACAATAGCTTCGCTACATCTTGCGTCCATAGAGTGTAGCTCTAGCTGATTATGGCCTCCGAGACATAATTACATGTACTAACAGAGGATAAATCGATTAAACCCGAAGTTACTTTGACAACTTTTCACTTTTCTTATAAATTAATCACATTTCCAAATGTATGGCAGCATCATGGACATTGCATTATTCAGTCATTAATACGACAATGGCAATTACTTGTTACAACTTGAAGAAAGTTACAAAAAAAAAAAAAAAAAAAAAAAAAAAAAAATAATAAAATAAATAAATAAATAAACAAACGAATGAATGAATGAACGAAAGTATAATTGTATTAATAAGTCATTAATACTGGCACTAAATGGAAATTTATAAAAATTTTCAAAACGCCCGTATTTATAATCAATTCAGTTGTACTGTACATTACACTTAATTTTTTTCTTTCTTTTAATATTAATGCGCTGAGTACGCAAAAAGTCTAATAGGGAAACAGTGAAATTACTCTGTCATTTCATATAAAACGTCGATAATTTCATGTAATTTTATCATAATCCTTTGACAAAATAAATCATTAAATACAGCTGTGTTAAATTTGAGTAAAATCGATTTCTTAATAAAGTCGAGGTTAGATATTAACGTATATTCAAATTAATAAGCAGTGAAGTACGATTTAATGTTATTGAAATATAATAAAAAAAAAAAAAAAAGTTTACACAAATAGATAAATTCCTTTAGATATTTTCAATATTCTATTTATAATATTATCTTAACGATTTGCCATCAGAGTTGTGTCAATGGCATTAAATAATTGACTCCAAATCTTTATATAAGTTAAATGACGCTTTATAATAACAATTATTTATTTTTCATTAATGTCTAATGCAAATTAAGAGTAACTAACAGTCGCGGTGATCTTTTACCTATTTTAATCATTAACAATTATAGCCTTGTCTTGGACTATCATGTCTGACTAAAGATCATACTAAATTCCAAAATAAATCACAAACTACTCTTAACAATTATAAATATTATTTATAAATTATAATATTATATTCTTTAACAATTCGACAATGGTGGCAGAATCAATTAATTTTCGTTAAAGGTATTTATTTCACTCTATCGACATTAATGTTTAGCTCACAAGTCTGATGGTATTAAGTAATCAATTAATAAGAACTTCTAAATGTCAGTCTTGGAATCTTTGAAACGAATAATATTTATTATTGTGTAATTTATTACAATTCCAAATAATCAATTAGTCAAATAAGGAGTTATATTCAGTAGCCTAAAAAAATCTAACAATATCATCATCCTTTCTTTTACAGGAAATAAATAAACATTTTGCGTAAAGCATTGATTGCAATATATAATAAATGAAAAAATATTTATTATTACATGAAATGAGCAAACGGGCGTGTTCATCGACGATTCGCAATTATCGCGCGATAAAAAGAGGCAATAATTAAACGAAATTTCATATATCTGTTACAAAGATGGAATAAGAGTTTTCAACTCTCTATGGGATCGTCGGAAACGGGTGAAAGCTGATGGTTTGGGTAAAGGGTAATTGGAAATATTCACTTCTTTGATCGTCGCGATTTACCTAATCTGTATAAGCATTTTAATCGCTCTCTTGAATTCTCAACGAACTCAAAGAAATTCTTCGAACGCCTGTGTATCAGCATGATAAATTAATAAAATCTGAAGTAACATATTTTTCGATCGAACTAAGAGATTTTAACGCCCTGATATAATTGATATTGTGAATTGATATTGAAATTTTAATACTTTATCGAATTAGAAATTCGCAAATTAAATCTTTAGATGACTTTCTAATTTAATAAAGTTATGTTTATATGTATAATTATCGTTTATAAATTCCTAAATGATTCATAGATTGAAATTATATAATCTTTCTTTCTTTCTTTCATTCTTTCGTTTTTTTTTTTTTTTTTTTTTTTTTTTTTTTTTAATGAACAAAGTAGAATGTTGTTAAATGCCGCTGAAAAGTTAAAAGTGTGTCAGTATGATATTTACCGAAGAATATCGAGTAACACACGTGAACAAGTTGTTATTCCCAAAAATGACGATGCTTATTACGAAAAACAATAATTAGTTTCGTATGAGATTGTAATGACGTCAATACATAAATGTGTTTGAATAAAATGCATTCGAGCAATTTCTTGTTGGTTGTTAATTTCAAGTTGCTTTTTATTAACGGAAAACAATTTTATGCAATTTTGATTTTACAGATTGAAATAAATGATACAAACGATGACAAAGATTTCGTAAGTACAATGATAATCATATCAGTCTACGTAAATGTAATTGAAATAAGTTTAAAAGAAAAAAAAGAAGAAAAACACTACTTTCAAGGTTAATAGTAATTTGATCGACAACTCAAAACCATTAAATAAGTCATTCATAATGACTTTTACAAATTGCGTAGCACTTAAAATGTAGACGATTGGATTCTTTTATTTACGATAAATGCGAGCATTTCTGAGAACAATTATACGTTTCTTGGGATAAAGAGTTGCGAAGCTTTTCCCATTATTTACATTAAACGCGTAGTGTTAAACAAATAAGTAAAAGACCAGGAAAATGTTCTTATAAATCATAATGTTAAGGGGAGACCAGCGTTCCTATGTTGCAATATATCACGTGTAAAGTTGCCGATAACACAAATATTGACTTGATCGACGGTGATGGAATTTCCTGACATAATTAATTGAATCGTCGCTCGGTAGATGTCGATGAAAGACAATAATCAATCTTAATGCTTCAAAGACTTGAAATTAACATTCATTTTCATTCTCGTATAATTAAATTTAAATTCTAAACACAATTTTTTTTCTCCCATTAATTATAAACAATATACGTTACACACCGTTCTTCGTACTATATTAATAATACGTACAATAACTTTTATGACTTTCTGCTTAAAAAATAAAAAATTAAAAAATTTATTACGATTTAAATTAATGTACGTGGCTTATTTAATAAATATAATTGACAAATTATGTCATTTCACGTATATTTGAAGCATTTTATTTGTATATCGCATTAAAAAAAAAATTAACTATTTTTTTTTCTTAAAATAAAATTAGCAAAAAACTTTTCAAATACAATGATATGCGTATATACTTTTAGTAAAAATGTTACTATAATTGACAAAACAGCGAATAAAAAGTAAAAAGTCTACTATCATTCAGCTACACTGTTTATCTCTGCAATAGAAAATCACATATTAAAACATGTAGTATAAAAGCCTTTTCATAATAAATCAAATAATAATCAAAGACTTTAAAATAAACATGTATTTGGCAAAAGTAATAAAATAATTGTAGACAATTTCATGCTTTCGTTACAGAATAAAAATTTTCACAAATGTATATTAATTATAATATTATTATAATGTAGGCCAAAAAAGATGGCTAAATGTAAATCTAAAAAAAGTTACCGATTGTAAATTAATGCTTTTAGCGAATGAAGTCATTTGTTGTTCAACAATTGTGGAAATCTCTTGTCCTCAAATTAATTCTTATATGTTTAAGTAATAAAATATAAATTAAAGCCATTAGAGATAATATCGTTTATGCACTTAATTGTGAATTGTTTAGATATTTGTACACGAGATACCCTTCTGGCAGACAATAACATATTAATTAACAGTTAATAGATAATGTATTTTTAAAATATCTCTTAAATTAAATTTCTATCATTTACTGATATAAGTTGAAGATAGTTTTTAAAAATATCTTATTTAAATAATATGGCTTTTCGAGTTAAATTTAAAATATTATATAATAAAGGTTCAAGAATTTTCCTTTTTGTTTTGTTTTATATTGTTTGTTAGTCAAATATATTCGTAAATTTTGCTCACAATTGAAACAATTATATTATATATTTTTATTTTCCTATTGATAGGTAAGTCTCTCTAGAGTAATTTTATATAAGATGGAAAAAATTATGTTGTTCCAATCACAATCTCTCACTTACGCGATTATTTTTATTAATCTTTCTATAATTATATAGAATCTATAATTGTTTAAAGAAAGGTAATGATAGAGTTCATTGGCTAATGATATTTCTTTTAAGAAAGTTCAGTAGTCTAAGAATCTAAAAAAAAAAAAAAAAAAAAAAAAAAAAAAATACAATTGACTACAATAGAGCGTAGAGACAATTTGTCGTAGAAATGTAATTTTATAAAATGGTTTATCAATTTCAATTTTTTAAAATGGATTTTTCGCTGTATTTACTTCATTGAGGTCTTCATCCGTATTATTAGCCGAACAATAAAATTTGAGTGATGATAAAGATAAGGAATGAAGAGAATAATTTCTTCTCACAATGTGAAAAAAGTGCTTTATCGTAAATAAATAATTTTCGTCCATTCTAGTTATTCGTTTAATTGCATTTATTGACGCAAGTCTGATTTTATTTCTTGTATTTTATAATTTGCCATTCTAGTACTTACAATAGTTTTAAATTCTTTTTTTGTTTTTTAAGCTAAAGAAAATGTATTTTGGACTAATACGGAGAAAAGAACATATTTTTAGAATAGTAAACAAAATTGCTAAATGCTCTTTTTAAACGCGCTGATTAATTAATAATAATTATTCGTAATGTTGTTATACCAGGAGATGAATTGTACACGTGAAATATGAGTAAAGATATAACTGTGTGATTATTGTCTATAAGTACCATGAGTGTAGAGGGGAATTAAATTCAATTGTCCTGGTTATCCTCGTAAATTCGAGGGAATATTATTTACAGAAATTGAGAATAATGCTGTACAGTTTTGAATGTCAGAGTTGTTATCTTATAATATTATATGGTTAATTGTAATTGTAATGTTATGGACGCGAAGTTGTGTATTATATTGTTTAGCGGGGCGTGCGACGTCCGCACTCTCTCGTTAGAGTGCAAGGCAAAGAGATTAAATAGAGTTCAAAACAAACACCGTCGAGGGTAAATATTGTACCGAGTATAAAATATCGGAAGGAATCACGATATTTTTTTTTTATATAAATCTGAGATGAGTTTAAAGTGGTTGGGAGAAATGGGCCTCGAGTTCGATCGAGCTGGATTGTTGAAAATCTCCCGCTCAGTGTCCATAATGATTCTGGATGTTGACGTCGCGATCACGTCAGCTCTAGGCCCTTTCAACTTGC